ACCGTCCGCTCGGCCGCCGCTCCGTTTCGTTCATCCACGTCTGACCGTAACCGCTTCTAGATCGAACCTTTTTAGTACAGCAGCTAGACGCCGGCGCTGCGAGCACCTGTCCACCGAGCCTTATTTATAAAGCAAACATACCAGCGCGCGAATCTAAAACTTTATGACATTCGTGGCAGCTGAGTCATGATTCAATCGGCTCGGGAGTCGCGCTCCGATGTACGATTTAACGCGTTATTATCTATATGTGATTAAGAAATACGATTCAAGATGATGGATGACGCTGGAGGCGTCCTGTTATGCTGAGCGCGATCGATGGAGCGTGTCGATAGCCATCGGCGCGGAGGTATCAGGCGCGCATCGATCGTCGGCGCAGGCGTCGGTTGTGCAACGCTTATGAATAATTACCGGACGGTGTACTGGCGTACGCGCACTCGATTCATTGCCAAGGACGCCTTTTCGCTTTTAGTCGGTCATCGATCGGAGCGTGTTGCGCAACGCGACGGGGTTTCGCTGTCAGGCCCGTTGCGCCTGTTGCGCCACGCACCGTGAGAAGTGCACGCGACTAATGACGCGTTGCTCAAGCGGCGCAATCCGCCCACAAATCGCTTTATTATGCAGAAAGTGAGTCGGAACAAATGGACGCGCCGCACTGCACCCGGCCTGCATTTATTATTACGGGACCCCGGCGGAAAGTGAACGCCGACTATGATGAACGGATTCATATCAACGTGATTGTGATTTATAACGTCGCACCACTCTCGGCGACGGTTTATATGAAAAAATGACCGTTTTATCGGTGCACTACCCGCGGCTCGCATATTCATAAAGCGGACGGCTCCTCATAAATATGTGTTGCAGACCAGCTTTATCAATTTGATGGAGAGCCATAAGTAACTAAATTACAATGGTCTGATGCTCAAGTTGCGCTGTAACTGATTATGACATTTTTAATAAGACGTTGTTCGTTCCATAAAACGCTCGATGTTGCGTGAAACTTATAATCTCGTGATCTGAAATGTTATCTTTCTCATTCGTAGTTCGATTCATCATAGTTATCTTGTAGGTGGGGCAGTAAACGCCAGTGGTAATGTAGTTCATTCTGATTACACTATCGTCTACATCGATCTTCCAATTCACTCCCATTTACTTTATTCGACGATGGTATCGAATTTTCAAGTGGAATGAACTTCGTTTCAACCTTTTCGAGAAGGTAACATTCAATTCGTATAGCAAGATGAATCGTACAGACAGACGGGATTTTTAAAAACATGGTTCTTGTATTACAACGAAGCAACCAAGTTTGCAAGTCTTCTGTCACGCTATTATTCTGTATCAAATTAGAGTTTCCTAAAAAAACAAGCTCTGCATCCGTTTGAACGGGTTGCGTTTTTGCAACTCTGGCGCAGCTGTCGTTGGGCAGGTGCGACCATTTTCGCCGAATTTCGTCGGCGTTCGATGCCAGAGCGCAGACCTCTGGTCTGAAGCCGCAATCACTGGATGCCGGGGCTTTAAATGGACAAAAACATCGCACGATATTTATTTCGAGTATCCTGTGAGTAAGTACTTTGGAATGATCAACCGAGTCTGGTTGGAATTTCCAAGTGACGTCAAATGGTCGTTTGTTCAGGCATCGTGAAGTATTTATTCTTTGAATTTAAGTTAATTATTGTCAATAAACTCAATTGCTCTAATACATATAAATTACTACACGTAATTGTTATCAATGTTAAAGACGTTGACCATGAAAAGATTTAATAAATTAATGCTTTATTTCAACAAAAAGAAGTAACAAATACAACGTTCATTCTTTATATTCTATGAAAGATGACAATATATCTGCCTACATGCGCGATTTAACTGCGCAACAGTTGTGTGGAATGCGCACGCGCATCTTAGGTCAACGCGCGACTTGACACAGTGACACGATGTCAACAGTGTTTTCTCATGTTTTACATGATAGACACTCTTGCGCAGCTAACTTATAAAGTGTCTATTACATTAATAGGATTTTTGCAAGGTGGGCGAATTGGTTATATTTCATCCATACATTCGTAGTCACTGTATAATTATTGTCAAATAATATCTGATATGTCAAATATAGCATACTGATATAAGTTAATTTAATGTTGCGTAAATCATCTATCTATTAAATAAATCCGATAAGAAAATCTCAATCTAATCAATTCCCTACGCCAATTTCGGACCCTAAGAACAACCCTCTGTGCAAACAATCGAACCATCCCTTTCTCATAATATTTCCTTCCTAAATCTCTTATTTGAGCCATTCAATTAATTTTACACACGTTACGCAAAGCCAAGCGTCATCCCCCATTCATGGCCCAGTTGTTCTATCTGGGTTACGCTAGGGGGCGGGACTATCGATCCTTGTCGACACGCCCTTGATTCTGTCACGGAGCTGGTAACTATTACGTATATTGAAGTAATTGTTGCTTGCTATGAATAAAATATTATTTGTTATAGTGAATTTTTTGTTTGGGGTTATATTTAGTCTGTGCTATTTGAGGAATCTGCTATAAAATCTTGTTGCGACTTATGAATGGGAATAATTTTGAAGAAATTATTATGAGGGATTAATTAAAATGAAAGTAGATGCATGCTTAAGATTCTAGTTCCAAGCTGAAGTGGTTTAAATTCTCAAAGACTTACGAATTATGTCCATAAAGTGCCACAGTTCCTTAAATTTAGAGCAAATGCTGCACATTGCACGACACCCCTTTATATATTTTTAAACCAACCAAAGCGAATCGACACGAAATAGTAGCACCAATTTCCAACAAGATCTAAAAATAGGTGTCTCGCCGCCACCCCGCCCGGGCAGCCGTGACCCGAGCGAGGTCACTCGGGCACGGGGTGGCGATACGCCCTCTACCCGCCCCAGGTTGTCCTCCAATGCCCTCCGATGCCCTCTGTTGCCCTCACTACGTCCTCCACTTGCCGACATTGGCCTCAATACCCAATTGTTTTACGTTTTACGTAATCCGCTCCGGTTTTGTGTACAGTTACGGTATTAAAATCATGTTACAATGAGTTCACTGTTTTTATTAATTAACTAGTAGAATATAGTCGGTTACCCACGTAACGACATTGAGCTAGATACGTGGGAACATTTCTTTATTCAGTTTTTTGTATTGTTTCGTATGTTTATGTGAGACATGTCATTCAATATTCGTGTGTCGTGTTGTGTCCCTTGCGCGGTGACTGTGACCAATTGTTTGTTTCTCCAGAAATATGTCGGAATAACTTCTGAATTGAATCAAGTGGGATTCATCTCGTGCGTCAGATTTCTTAGAATTTTAGCGCGCCTTTGATTCACCGATGTTTCCGATTTATAAATTGTTAAAATCAAAGACAGTTTTAGATAGCATAGGAAAGCTTTTGACAAAAATCGTGCGTAAGTTTGATGTTCAAATAAATTAGCTTATTTTATTAGTCTGAAATCCAAGCGTGCAACCTGTTGATTATGCACTTTATGCAAATAAACCTTCTAGGCATAATTATTACAATGAGTTCACATTGTAACCACGTCCTAAGTTTAGAATACCGCGAAATATTTCACACAGTGGATCCGGCTGTAAATCTTGAATCGTACATGCGTATATTCTGGAGAATTGTGTTGGCGGTAACCGCGGAAGGTTATTCAGAAATTCCATAAAGAATGAGTAGTTTATTAGTATTTAGAAAAACTATTCTTTTGGATGCAAGCAGCATAACTTGGTTGCGCACCCTTCTCACTTTAGTTTTAGCGACTTCAATAAATGTGCAGTACCGTGTTTTCTTTTATCCACAAGAAATACGATTATTATCTAATATTGGAGTCGATGAGATATTATATTTCAATTATAAATCGGTTACGTTGTAAAACGATACTTCTGTTTCCGCTACGTTGTACTGTCGGCGCCGGCGCCCGCACCACGCAGCTAATTGCAAACTGCGTGCGCGCAATCAAACCTCAGATTTATGCGATACTTAGAATTACCCGCAAACCTAAACACTTGGCTTTCCCACTCAATGTTAGTATAAGAAAATTACTTAATATGTGCTAGTAATGTAAATATACCTTTGTTCCGTGGCGTAACAGCGTCGTTTACGGCCCTAATGAGACCTATTCTAGGCAATTTAGTACTTACTCCAGCAACTAGTTTTGGGAAATGGTTCGTTATGCGCGAAAGAGAAAGTCTAAATAACGACCTATGCTAATTATGCTATGCTAATGTACATAGGAACACAATGTTATGAGTTCCTGATCTCGATCGGGAACCGACCAGTGCTTTATGTTTCGTCGGTCCTTATAACTTTTTGTTTCTTCGCCGCACCAATATATTTGAGCTGTCCCATAAAAATAGTTCGGAACCAATTTCCATAAATCGTTGATGTACGACGTCTCCATAGATCACCTGTAAGGATCCCCTTGCAGAGTGCGCGCGCGCCGTTCCTCTCGGCTGGTAATTATTCCGACTAATGCCGCCTAATGGCTGCCCCTGATGTGTTTACGAGCAACACTTTGTCTTAAACGGCGACAGTGTAATGAAATCAACCGATTACAATGGCGGTAATATCACATTTGCCTTCAAACCTGATTTAAGGGTAACCAGTCAATTTTCTAGGTTGCGAGGCTTTCTATTCCGATAAATTTGTTCGCTGGCACTTGATTTTATGTCGTCCGTTTTGCTATCGTAATGGGAACTAACTTCAGATTTACACATTACATAAAATTGTCTAAGCCCTTCCTACTGGCCTGAATGTCCAATATCCACAAGTCCGAAGCAATCGTGATTTGTCACCTTAATTAGATAGTTACGTCCATCCTTAATTAGGTAGTACAGTTCATTTTACATATTTCTTGTGGTTAGTGTGTTTCTAGTGGCTATGGTATTTATCGATTCAACGACGACAGGAGATAATCATATCGGTTTGTGAAAAATTGAATTACTTTTTGAACCTCAATTCTGATATTCTTTTTATTTCTGTTCTTCCAGGGGCAAGTTCGCGTCAGTTCGCAAGATTCGCCACTTAGTATCAGGAGAAGAGTACGCGGCAAAGATCATTCGCAAGCGGAGACGCGCGGCAGACACGACGCGCGAGATCCTACACGAGGTGGCCGTGCTCGACCTCTGCGCGGAGTGCACGCGCGTCGTCAGTCTACACGAGGTGAGAATACCTTACATTACAATTATACTCCCGTGTGAAGACAAATATCGGTGGGTCATACTCATGCACTTTTTCTGATATGGATGACAACTAATGGATGGAGAGCTTAGGGCTGGCATAGAGCCTTTATTTTCAAGATCCTGGTAGCAATATTTTATGCGAATAATATACTGTTCTCATAAATATACTACTTATTAGTAGATATAATATTGAGAGACACAAACTTATCTCGAATCTGATTGACCATTTCTCATTTGCAGGTATACGAAACCCGTTCGGAAGTGGCGATTGTATTAGAATTATGTGCTGGCGGAGAACTGCAGCGTCTCCTTGACGAAGAAGATCGTCTGTCCGAGGGAGCGGCGCGACGGGCCCTGCGCCACGTACTAGAGGGGCTGGCACACTTACACGCGCGCCGGGTCGCTCACCTGGACCTCAAGCCACAGAACCTACTACTCACAGCCGGCGGAGAAGAACTACTTATATGTGACTTCGGTATCAGTCGCGCTATACAGCCCGGAGCACACGTCCGGGAGATATTAGGCACAAGGGACTATGTTGGTGAGTACTTTTAACTACAGTATATCTGAGAAGATAGTATGCGGTAAGTCACTCTATCTGGTTTAGACAACTGGCTGTGTAATGGTTTTGATTGCTATTTTAAATGGATAATCCTGTACTTATTGTAAATACGATAAAAAATTATTATGCCTAGTGAAAGTGTTAGTTTGAATTAGAAATCAGTTGACTGCTATCGAAATTTAATGACTGTAAGGAGAGACTTGTTCTATAAATTGAGGAAAGCGAAAACATTTCTTCTATTTAGGTCTCATGAAATATTCTCAGAATGTACGGCACACTCGTCAAGGAAAATCTATAGGAAAATTTTATGATTAATTTTATTTTTTTTCTTTTTCCACAGCCCCTGAAATTCTATCGTACGAGCCCCTCTCGCTAGCCGCAGACATCTGGTCAGTTGGCGTGCTGGCGTACGTCCTCCTTAGTGGGTACTCCCCGTTCGCGGGCGAGACCAAACAGGAGACCTACCTCAACATAGCACAGTGCCAGCTCAGCTTCCCCAAGGACCTGTTCCGAGGAGTCTCGCAGAGGGCCATACAGTTCATCCAGGAGACGCTAGTTGTTGATCCTAAGTGAGTGTTCGTTGAATCCCTTCTTCATTTGATACTTTCAAGTTGTTTCATTATATTTTTTCATTTTTCTGGTGTCATTGTACTGATGTAATCTTTTGTACATTTCAGGGGTCGTCTTACAGTGGAAGAGTGCCTGGAGCACCCCTGGTTGAAAGACGAGGCGAACTTGCCGCGTGCGATCGTGGGCGTTGGGTTTGACGCCGAGCTCGCCAGCGACCCCGACGCGGACGGGGACGACGACGACAACCACGACAACCTCAACGCCGTCAACGGAGTTAACGGCGTTAATGGCGTTAACGGAGTTAACGGGTGTAACGGCGTTAACGGCGTGAACGGGGTCAATGGTGTAAACGGTCACAACGGCGTCAACGGCTGTAATGGGACCAACGGGTCACATGATGATGAAAAAGGTGAGTTAATGTACGTTATCGTCATCGTCATCTCATATTACTCTTCCTAGCTTTCCTATTTCTTGTAATTTTCCATATTTCCATATAATCATTACATTCTTTCTCATCTTTCGTGCCATGGCAAAATGCAACATTTACAAGTAAAGATATGACTCATTTTCAGAATCATCAGAGTCCCGGCCATCCTCGGCACAGGGGCGCGAGGAGTGCGAGGAGCGCGACAAGCCACTGAAGCATGCGCACGCGCGCGACGTGTCTCCCCCCTTCCCCGACGCCCCCTCCACGCCTAAGGTGAGACGCGCACTACCTCACTGAGCCCCGCAGCCGTCGGTCAGGTTAGAACATACAGCCTGGATGTCTACTTGTGTGCTTGTGTCGGGCTGATACTTGGTACTGCTAGCACTGCTAGTACTGCTAGTCTAGTGTACGTGTATGTCATGTAGCGACAGCTTGCATGGAGTGATGCTTCGGGGGGCGCTACTCGTATTCCTGAATGTATTGTTACGTGAAGTTTAGTTTAGTATAAATAGTTGGCTATGATAGCGTGGTGACTGACGCAGTGTCTCCCCGCAGGTGTCGCGCAAGTCGGCCCCGCCGCACGCGCCGTCGGTGCTGGCGCTGTGCAAGAAGTTCCAGCCGGACTACGAGAAGCCGGCCAAGCTGTCGCTGGCGGCGCACGAGTGCGGCGCCGACTGTACGTGCCGCGCCCTGCGGCCCCGCGCCGTGCTCTGCTAGCTGTGGCTGTGCTGCGGCAAGCCGTGGCTAGCTGTGACTAGCTGTGACTAGCCGTGGCTAGCTGTGCCTAGCTGTGGCCAGCTCTGCCTAGCTGTGGCTAGCCGTGGCCGGGTTGCTCTGTCTCTGTACATATAGGCTAAGTGTCGCCAGACAGTTGTATATTTGTTTAGCGAGCGCCCCGGTCGCGGGGACACAGGTTCACAGCCGACCGCGGCGCTCCCCCGACGGTACAAAATGCATAATGATGCGCCCGCGCACTCCCTGCGCTTGTATATGTGTAAGTGGTAGAGTTGGCACTGCCGATACAAGATACTGAGTATCGCGGCACTGTATACAGTATGGGGCAGTGGTGTACATAGGGCGGCGCGGAGCCGCGACTTAGATAATGATGTGTCGACCACAGTTATATTGTAGCGTCTAAGTGTTCAAATGGTTTAACAGATGATGTACGTTGTATGTTAGCCGGAGCGGTATAGATTATATTGCCGATATGTTCGAGTGTTGGGACCAAAATTTTCTAACGTAGGAGAAACGATTCCATATCGGTGTAGTTGTTGTCTTGTACAATATTCAAATTTTATCACCGTGTGTGACCGTTTACGGGATGTTGCTTGTAGGTAATTAAATTGTTTATGAATGTCATGAGCTCAAATCTTGCGACTTAATTTTCTTTGTAAATGTGCTTAGATGAAGAAAGTTCATCGAGTGTAGTTAATTCATCCTCCATACTGAAAATATTTTCATATTATTGTATTGTATACTATTGTTTTCATCCATTTGAATTCATTTTAATCATTTTGTTCAACTAAACTCGAAGATCCATTACCTTTAAAAGCTGTTGTGATCAATAACTCATTTGTAAAAAATAAATTATTGTGATATAAAAATACTCGCTGTTTCTTTTATACAAACCCTAATAATGCTGAATTACCTAACGTAGGAATGGTTGATGAGAAATATTGCTTTCCATTTCTTCCTGCCGTAGAATAGAAATCGGTTATTTCTGATTTACAATGAAAAACGTTTTAAATTTTGTTGGACGACACTCCCAGAGTATAAAACAAGTGAAACAAGTGAATTTATTTCTGCAAATAGGCTACAAGGCAGCACTTTTACACGTCAATTTTATCAAGCGAACGATGAGGTCGACATTTCCTAACTGACTACTCTGAGAAGAAATGCCGAAACAAACTCAGAGATCTGTCTCTTTTAAAGTCCAGACAATATGTATAACAGATTATGTGTGAGAACCGTGCAAGTTCTTTCTGTAGTGGGCTTTTGAGGAAAGAACCACAACAGTTTGAGCGGACCCGTTCTGAAGGCAGTACGCATGTGTCGGTTTACAGTCAGCTCAATTAACAGGTGAGGCTGACTGATTCGACGAACAATACCAATCTAAAGAACATTTGCGTGGGTCGCACAAATACTCAAACTGTCAGAAAAAGGGTAATTAGAAATGAAATGAGGAGGTATAGATTTGATGATTGGCACACACGCAATTACACTGAATTGTAAACATATCTTTACAATCCATTACATGAAAATCAAAAATATCTCACAAATTATAAAAGGTCCTTATAAAAGGTCTTACCTAAAATATAACAAACGAAACCCACAAGGTTTCCACACCTGTAAAGATATATTTACTAACTGATGGACAGACTGGATGGACATGAATGGTTTAACTCCTGGTACTTGGGAAAGAATATGCTGTAGGTATTTTACATTACAAACTTTCATTTTGTATAATTAAACTGTCAAACACCGCGAGGACACCGGTGACCGCAACCTATTGTTCTTTATAATCGTAGCTACCCCAAAACTAGTGATTACTTATCAGGTGTCGTGTGTGTGTAATAATAACACAGGACTATTCTTTTCGTGGGTGTCATAAGAGCTAAGGGACTAGATATTTTACAGGGACCTGGCGGCAGTGCTCTTTGAAATTTGAACTTTTTCAACCGTGATCTCCAATCAAGCCTCCAGTGTGAAGATTATGACAAACCTAGGGGCTTACTCTTGAATCCAATTCCGATTGATCGACATTGGTATTGTGAACTTTCGTACTCTTGAGTCGCAACACTAGCGCCCATTGCATCCGTATTGCGTGGATATTGAATGAACTAAATGGTATTGAGTTTGGCTTTATATTCCGTACTCTGAATGCTATTTTAACAGCTACGATGGGGGTTGTATAGTGTTGTCATTGAATCATTATTGAGATTTTATTGCATTAAAATTGCATTGACATTGAGATTGGTTTCGAGAGTAAGCACCCTAAACTAGGTTTTAAAATTTTAAATAAAAGGATTAGGTAAATAAAAATCCCAAATACAGGAAATACATGTTTTATTTCTAATACTACAAAACAGTCTTGCCGTGCAGTTGAATGTCGGATCATATACAATATTATAACTTGGCACTATATCGACACGTTTAATGATACAAGTAGTTACCAGCATTTCATTATTTGAGGAACTTATTTCAACATCAAGATAACTTATTTATAAAAGGGTAGTCAGGTGTATAAGGAATAACATAACATCACACTTTTTGATCACCGAAGGGATACACAGAGGTGCACATGACGGCACTTAATGCCACTGTACAATGTAACACCCACTTTTCACTATATGTTATGAGACCCATGGGGGTGAGCCTATTGCCATACACCGGGCACAATTCCAGACTCCGTGCTACTACTGAGATTTTCAATTATTAGTGTATTAGGATACCACTTGTATAAGAAAACGTATACTACAGAATATATTTTTTATTTTCAAGAACAATTATATCCGATTACAAACATCGATTACTTCATTGTATTTACATTATGTATAAATATAATACATAGCACGTTTCGTTCCAATTTCTCTACAGAACAGGAAACTGATTAGAAGTAAACAATACAACTACGTATAATTAATTAGACAGGGTAAAGTAATCACAACTTTTAATATTTTCCTATAATATACACATAAAATAATACACACAAACTTATAATTGAAATACATAACTGAAGTTTGACAGAAACAGGGCGACTCCGACGAAGTAGGGGATAGCATTAAAGAGTTAAATGAGTCCACAATAAGATTCATATTCGAATCACATACACTGAACTTAAAAGAATACAAAACACGCTGTGTCTTCCAAGATCTGCGCTTGGAGTAACAAGCGCTACGTGCTTACTTACAGTGCAGTACAGCGGTAACGAAGAAATGATAGAACAAAAGATTTAAATATTAATATTTAAGGGTTGAATCGGAATGAAAAATAACCGCATCACGTAACAATGATAGGGATTGTCAGTCAACACCAGCTTGAGTCATGCCAATTACTATTAGTCCTTCTTAAAATAAAAATGCACAATACTTTCGTCAGGCAACCAATTTGACTAGACCCGAAAAACATTTTGAAATACAAACATTATTTCCGATATATTTTTACATACATACTACATATTATCGTCACGCCCGTCTCCCATTTGCGTAGACAGAGACTATAGAACGTCAAATGACATGTTTTCATTAGTTAGAAAATCCAATAAGGCAGTTTTATTTTCATCATTGATTCATGTCAGTATTTTCCTTATAAAGCGCAACTGCACTTACAAATACAGTATTTCATACTTTATACTTTAATGAACGAGATCATATCAATTATTTTACTAGACAAAATGAACCGCAGTGACTTACATTCGCAAGCAATTTGCGAACGTTGCAATTTCTATTCTACCTTTTTTAATTTTAAGGAACTTTTCCGTTTCTTAAAACTTTTAGTCAATAAATCCATGACTCAAGAATTTTAATTTAATCTACGCTAACATTACTAAGATTCTTTTTTTAACCAATCTCATTTATACAAATTTTATGTTCCTTATTTGCAGATGATAACTTACACTACTTTACAGAATAAGATTTTGTGAAAATGTAGAACTTAGTCAACATATTACAAAAAATCTAGATATGATAGACACAGGTACAGCTTCTACGAGGATTAATTTCTTTATGAAAAAGGTTTTGTTTCAGAAGTATTGTACATTTAGTAGTTTACACAACTCCGCAATTTAGTGAAGTTGTACAATTTACTATTTTAGAAAAACTTCATTTACAGAGTTATGTCGATGGGTTTAACTAGTAGGTATAACAGTATAACTGAGTGAACACATACATTTCACTACCACGAATCCTTTTTGATTTCGTCCCGCGGCAAAACCACTTGCCATAAGGAGTACTTTCGATGTAAAAACAAAAAAAAAAATGTGATTTTTTTGTTTACATAAAAAAATACGTACATGAAGCACTACTCTCACGTGCCACCCGACGAGAAATACTTCTTCGAGAATTACATGGCGTGATGTTTTGATGCGCTGTGTGTTCGTATTCGCTTTCGAAGTTTGCTTCTTGCAATGGTTTAGTAGTTATTTTTTTGCTTTAAACATTTTATTTCTTTGTAAAACTATTGTATTACCGAGATAGAACCATTTACCTTCGGGACGAAAACAAAGTGATTTCAAGGTGTATTATTTTATCACCTTATAAAAAACTTACGAAAATTTAAACGAGGGCTACCTTGGACCATTTTGGGCCTGTTTCACAAAGTTTTTTTTTTTAAAATATTTGACCACTGCCTCGCCTAGTGGTCACCGATGATGCGGTCAACGATGGAGCACGTCGTCCTTGTTTGTTAAAGTTCCTAATAGTCTACCTAACAGATGATTTTATGCACGATTTTCTACACGAAATGTGTTACAATATTTGAGAGTTGTGACCAGTAATTTATGACGTTATTTAATTTATATATCTACTAGCGACCCGCCCCGGCTTCGCACGGGTGCAATATGCATGTATTGTACATATAAACCTTCCTTAAGAATCACTCTATCTATTAAAGAGAACCGCATCAAAATCCGTTGCGTAGTTTTAAAGATCTAAGCATACATAGGGACAGACAGACGGCGGATAGCGACTTTGTTTTATACTATATAGTGAAGATATACATAGAATACATTTAACTAAGAATTACGAGTTATTTTTTTATATTTGATGGACTAACGTTTGATCACTATTTCGCCTGATGGTAAGCGATGATACGGTCTACGATGGAGCACGTCGTCCTTCATAAATATAATGAGAAAAGCTTTACTAGTTTATAGTCACAGAGGGAATTTTCCTCATGAGCAGCGTGTGCGGTCGCGGGGTTGTGGGCCAGTTGGCGGCGCTTTCTACATGTGTAACTCGTAATTTTTAGTTAATTCAGCATGTCTCACAGTAGTTATTATACAAACATCGATTACATTTCATAAGTGATTATTTAAGTATGTATTTACTAAATAGTATACGTATGATTGATTATTGATTACAGTAATTAGTGTTTTGATTACAATATATTTTAACTGGCTACTTCTGCGTGGTATCACACGCTCTGCTCAGCTCCTATTGGTCGTAGCGTGATGTTTTATAGCCCATAGCCGTCCTCGATAAATGCGCTATCCAACACAAAAAGAATTATTCAAATCAGACTTGTAGTTACGGAGATTAGCGCGTTCAAACAAACAAAAAAAAACTCTTCCGCTTTATAGGTATAATAGTATAAGATTAATGATTACAGTAATTATTGTTTTGATTACAATATATTTTTAATTATGATTTGGAGTGAGACAAATAAGTATTTCGCTTCGCATTTCACTTTTTCAGTTTCACAATAGTTCGAGTAGCTATTAAATGCGAACATAAATAAAATACCTTTAAACTGTCAAACACCAAGCGGTCACCGGTGACCGCAACCTATTTTTCTATAATTTCGTCTATAATGACGGTACTCAACGAGTTAATACCTGGAATAAAGTATTGAAAATAGAAACATAATCTCCAGTTCTTACGATGACAG